GACGAAGTATATGCAAACAGATTTCAACACAAGTTTATGCTTTTTGAAAGCTTTTCGATTTTTAATGGCGGAAGAAAGAAGAAAACACAGTGATGGGGGATTTTAGGGGAAGAGAAGAGAAGATGATCTCTTTGCTTTTCGGCACGTGTGACTCATCATTTCGCACGTGTCTCCAGGTTTTATATAAAAATATAGGTTATATTTTATTTTTGTTTATATCATAAAACCAATAATTATTCAATTTTCTTAGAAAGAAATATTGAACAATAGAAGAAGATATTTGAAATAAATTGAACTCACTTAAATTCAAATCAGGAAAAAAATAAGCATTATAAGAAAACTTGTAAACAGTATATGTCCTTATATTATTATTTTTTCTCTCCAGTATATGTCCTTATATTATTTGCTTTTTTTTTGTCAACATATATTATTTGCTTAAAAATAAATTTCCATTTGTTTTCCAAAATCTTATCAATGGAATTTTCCGTACAGTATTTTCTGTGTATAACCTATCATTCTAAGATTTCAATCTAAAGAATTGTAGAAATACTTTAGAAGATTCATAAATGGTTATATACAGAAAAATGTTATACGAAAATCTTTAAAAATTTAGTACAGATGTAGTTCTGACAAATAATATGTATTCATGGATGAAAAATAGTTAAAACGTTGAGCGTAACATTTCTTGATCATCAAGATTGATAAAAGAAATTATGTTATGAATAAGTGATGCATAAATATATGACCTTATAAATAATAATATAGTGTTGATACAGAAAAAAAATCGTGAAATTGATAGAGGAGAAGATAACGTAAATGAATCATAGATTAAATAAAAATATAGCGAAACAAAAAATATACAAAAACATCAATGATAATTTAGCTTTTAAGCAAATATTGCAACTAGAATAATTGATGCAAGATCATCATATTGCAAATCGAAGTTATTTTCATACCTACACGTCAATAATAATAGATTTCCTTAGAACACCGTTTTTTTTCTTCTGACAGCGCCGTTTTTCTGAGAGCGCCGCTTTATAACTCAATAAAAATGTTATATTATGATTTAGCATAAGATACTTCAGTTTATATAGTACTAAATAATAAAAGAGATTATTGGGACATTTTTTCTTTTGCCTAAATATTGACAAATTCAATCAATGTAATTACATTATTTGTTAAACAGATATTGGTTTTTTAAAATTTCTAAAATTTACATACTAAGCAAGTAAAAATTTATTTGATATATATTATTTATTATATTTTAGCTTTCTATTGATATTTTTAATTAATGTAGTTATAATGACTTATTAAATATATATGGATATTTTAAATTTTTATATGAAATAACTAAAAAAAGAATAACATATTTAAGTAGAAACATAAACAAGTATCAAGTATGGTAAGTGACAATTAGATATGACATATCTCAAATTAATAAAACAAAAGAATTAGATCCATTAACTCTTATGGGCCTTAAGAATCCTTAAAACTCTTAAGTAACTAAGGGCTTGATTGGTAGAAGCTGTAGGGGCTGTGTACAACACTTTGACATTTTTACAGCATTAAATTTCACCAATCATGCTCTAGAAATTTTTTTCAAAGCCACAGCTCAAAAAATAAAATAAATTAGTTTTTGACTTTGCACAGCCAATATTTCCACAACAACCAAAACATTGCTTTGGA